GGGCGGGCGGGCGCGCTGCCGTTCCCTTTCGCCCGCGCGGGAGGGGGCATGAGGAGCCCGCGGGCGCGGCCCCGGGGGACAGGGTCTTGGTTAGGAGCGGGACCCATCGCTCTGTCTGGCAGCAGACTGAACCCTGCGTTTGCCGGGCGCTGGACTCGTGGATAGATCCGATTTGCCCCCCACAACACCAACAACAGCGCGCTTTGTCTAGAAGGATCCTAAGATGTTCCCCGATTATAAGCGCGCTCCCAGCACAACCACAGCAGAGCCGCCGAAACGCGTGCTTCCGTCTCCACGGAGACTTTTTGCCTCGGTGCAGCCGCGGGCCAGATAGGAGCTTTTCCCTCGGGGAAACAGAAGCACGTGCCTGTATGGATGCGAGGGAGCGGCAAGGAGGGGCGGAGGGCTGCCGTGCGGACGGAGAAACGGGGAGACGAGCAGCGTGCGTCGGTCTTCCGAAACAGCTGCGTCTGCAAGAAGGGAGACGTGCGAGGACCGCGGTCAGTTCAGATTGCTGCATCAGTCGCTTAAGAATAGCCTCCGTTTCTAGAGTCCCATCATGTTGGTACCACGGTGGGCGACCAGGCAGAAGCTCCTACACGTGGGCTGTCCAGGATAAGCTTGCATGGAATATGAAGACTAGACACCTCCTTTAATGCACGCTAAGGCCTAATCTGCCCTCTCCGTCTTCACAGCTCTGCAGCGAATGAAACCTTGGTGATAACTTTTAGCGTTACCTATTCCTCCAAGAATGGAACCATTGTGGAACTACCCAGGCAAGTAAGTAACAGCACCGATTTCCGACGTAGGCTTGCTTTGTATCAGGAGAATACCACTACATCCAGCTTTCATTTCTCTTGACAGGTAGACTTCCCTGCTGGGTTAACTAGTTCAACCTTTCAAGTGAAAGCCAAAGATGTCGGCCAAGTTACAGTTTACCTTCATACCAATAATTCCAACCAAACCGGGTGAGAAACTGCATTTCGTTCTTCATTATCCGCATCTCTTGTCTAAAAGAGTAGGAACATTTTCCCTCCTGCCAGCGAGCCACCTACCACCACCTCGCTTTTCCTTGGGGTATATAAATGGTCTGCGTTCCTCTCTCTCTCACTTCCTGTTTTACTTGGGTAATTAGAGCAGTACCACTTAGCTTCTGTATCTTGCATTTATATTGGAGTAGTGGAGCAGTGAGCACCTACCCTCCCCTAGCAGTTTAGCTTGAGGTTCAACAGCATCTTCTAAAGCACACATGCAGGCTTCAAGCGTGCCCCGAGTAGGGCACCGCTCGACTCAGAGATCTCCTCGGGCTATCGCGCTGTTGCTCTACAGATCCTGCATGTGCAGTCATGGAGTCGTGTTCCAGAGCCATCCCTGACCCTACAGCTTTCACTTAGTTCATAAGGAGCAGCTGGCACTTAGCACTTCCAGAAACCCCTTGTAGCTTAGAGGGTCTGTTAATAAGGGGACCTGTGCTCGCAGGTGGAACTGATACCGGAACAGACTGCTGAGCCGTGTCTGCTGCTTGTCCAGAATGACACAGCTCTGCAGGATGCTGCAGTATGGCTGCTTCCTCATTCTGCTTCTGCTTTTTACAGCTGCTTGATCACAGATCTTATCCCATCTTGTCAGACAGGCAGGAGCACAGGCTGCACCACATTGCTTACAGAGCACAGGGTGATATGCATCAGTTACACAATGGAAACCTTGTGCTAGGAGCCACTGAAGCACGGGGCTAGACAAATTGCTGCTGAAGGATGGGGGGGGGAGGAGGGAGAAAATGAAGGAAGAAAGGGCACAGAGGCTGGGAGCTAGGGGTTCACAGGGTGATATGCATCAGTTACAGGGGAAAGCTCTATTAAACCCACCCTACATTTTGAGTGCTGTGTTGAACTGAGATCCACTCACTCTAGAGCTTGCTTCTGCATGCAGAGATGTGTCACAACAGGTACAAACTGACTGACTGGCACAATTTCTTTTCCAGCCCAAGGATTCGCTTTCAGGTGCTTCATAGCCAGATACTGCGATACATAGACCAGGTGATTGGCTGGATCTACTTCTTAGCCTGGTCCATCTCCTTCTACCCACAGGTTATTGAGAACTGTCGGCGAAAGAGGTAAGGGGATATCTGAGTGCATTTCACAGCTCTCTTTCTACAAGAAACATCACTGTATGGAAACACTGGTGGGTAGGGTGGGACAGTTTTCCTCTCCCATGAACGAGCTGGTCCCCATGAAAGAAAAGCAAGGTATTAGTGTAGGAGCAAATTTGATTTCAGTAACAGCTAAAGCTCCTAGTAATCCAGGCCTTGCTTAGGAGGCCTGTTAGAGCAGCAGCTCAGAAGCCCTTAACTTGTACAAAACATCCCCTGCAAAGTGCCACTGAAATCAAGCGATGGGGCAGAGTTACCCTGGATTGTTCCCCCGTTAAACACCAGAGGGAGCCCGGTCATTAGACTTTCACCAGAGCTAGTAGGGGTGCATTTGGGAAGTTCACCCCCATTCACACTTGCATCTGTTTCAATTCTTGTGAATAAATTCTGAGAAGAGGAAAGGGAGAGCGCAAAGAGATGGGGCTCCACTCTGTCCTAGTGATCAACCTAGATCACCTTCCATGACAAGCTGGAGTGGGTCTGATTTTCTACCAGCCCCTGGGTCTAACGTAGGGTATACTCCTTGCCCTGCACCACATTTCCACTCTCTTGGAAGGCAGGTTGCATTTCAGCTAAGCCCTGCTGTGCAGGCTGCCTGCCTCTGAACACTAGGTTTATCTAGCCAGCCGCCTATTGGGGAAGCTCCTTGAACTCCTTTTCTGAACTGAGCTATTTGAGCAAGCAAACAAGTGATGGCCTTTGACAAGTGGAGAACCTCTGCTGGCACACGAGGGCAGCAGAGTGCCCCATCTCGGCAGGGGCGGAGTTGCTCCAACGCCAGTCCTAACGTCTGACTCACTGGGGCTGGGTGCAGCTAGCATAGGCTCCCTCCTTTGAAAGATCAGCTTTGTAAACATCAGACTGTGCTGGTGCCTTTCACATGAGGGGCAGCCCACCACCGCTTCCCAGCCCACAAAGGCATCTTTTAAAAAGCAATGTGGTTGCACTCTTTGTTCTAGGAAATCCAGAAACCCTTAATTAGCACTTTCTACTACTGAAAACTTGGTTTCTGTTGTCCTGGCCCTGCTGCTCTGTATATTGAGGACTCCTTTCCCTCCTTCTAAGAGCAAGTTCTGATTTATTCTCCCTGTTAGTGTCGTTGGGCTGAGCTTTGACTTCATCGCATTAAACCTCACTGGCTTCATAGCATACAGCGTGTTTAATGTGGGGCTCTTCTGGATCGTTGCCATCAGGGTAAGTGCCCTTTGTGTTGCCACAAACCAGCTTCCCTGTGGAACTGAGCCTGGAAGCTGACCTGCCTGCTTCCCTCTGTTCAGGAGCAATTCCTACATCAGTATCCCAACGGCGTGAACCCTGTGGAAAGCAGCGATGTCTTCTTTAGTCTCCATGCAGTAGCTATCACGCTCTTTATCATCTTTCAGTGCTGCATATATGAGGTGAGTGTTGCCTCTGGCACTTAAATTCCACAAAGGTGACTCAGCCCTGGTAGAGCCTCCAAGCTGGGCCCCACCCCCTGGCCCTTGTTCTTCCTCTGGGCAAAGTAGATCCTGCCCTCTCCTTCACTTTACTGGAAACAGAACCTCACAGCCCAGCTGCCTTGGCTTGCTAGAGCTGGTGCTGACTCCCGAGTGACTGTAGCATGCTCTTTCCCAGAGCCTGCAGGTGCTCTGGGTTTATAAATTCCCTCTTTGGGGCCATGTGATAGCTTGTTTCACATAAATACAGAGTGTGTAAGGGCTCCAAAAACAATCCCCCCCCTGCTTTAGCTACCACCAGAAACTCTGCTCTAAACAGAATGAGATGTTCACATGCATTTCCCATCCCAGCTTGCTCACCACATGGGCCTAGGTTGGAGTCTTGTGTGACAGCCAAGAGCTCACTCCTCAACCAGCTTTCTGCTCCTGGTCTTTCTTGCTACTGTGGAAGAGATCAGTTCTTATAGCCTCTGCCCCCCTTGTCAGGTGACCATTTGCTTCGTTCTCACTGCCTGGGGTTGATTGCTCTGGGTGCTCCCTTTCCCTGTGCAATCAGCAGCTTAATGACCCACACTACCTATTAGCACTGTGCCAGGTGTGAGAACTTCTGAGAGAGACAACCAGGCACCACAGGCAAAATGGTTTTGGAGCCTGACAAGTCACCAGGTTCTGGCTGAACTCCTTAATTATCTTTAGATGCCACAGACCATCAGGCACCCCTCATGGGAGCCATATTCCTATTTCCTGCTGCCTTGTCCCTGAGCTGGTAGTGCTCCTTGTTTCACAGCACCTGTCCTTGTGAGGGAGGAAGGGAATGCCCCTAATTGCAGGAAACAGGCCCAGTTATTACAAAGCCAAATACCACCCCCCCACCCTAGCTGGCTGCTGCCTTCCCCAGTACAGCATGTGGTAAAGGTGACCTGGCAAGCTTTCCAAGCCCCAGAACCTGTCTCAGGAGCATAAAGCCCCACAGGTTCTATTACTGAACCCTAAACTTGATCAAAAGAGCCAGTTGCACATCTCCCACAGCCATGCAGTGCCTGTGCCTGCTTCCACCTGGGTGCCAGGGCTCTCAGTGTTCCTGTGGGAATTGGGGTCTGATGTTACACTGCTTAGCAGGCTCCACAAGCTGCCAGGCAGTTGTTTTGCAAGAAGAGGGGACAATCTGGCTAGTAGCACAGGGGTGCGTGGCTGATGACCTGCACGTTGTGGGGAGCCCAGCGCACGCTAAGGGAAGGGCTGGAGCGGGGAGGAAATCAGGGATCCGGGTGTAACAGACTGCAGACTTATCTTATGTCCGTCTCTTTCAGAGAGCTAGCCAGAAAGTCTCCAAAATAGTGGTTGGGCTGCTGGCGCTTGCATGGATCTTCACCTTCACCATGCTGTCTCTAGCTGTGGCTGACCAGATCACATGGCTACAATTCTTATTCTTCTTCTCATACGTTAAACTGGGAGTCACGCTGATCAAATATTTTCCACAGGTAAAACCAGGATCTTAGGATTCTTTGTACCTTAGTGGCAGCCAGGCGTCACACAGGTGACAACAGAGCAGGAAAAGCCATGCAGGCTACCTTTTAATAGGCACAGGATATAATCCCAGAATGCTAAGACTAGAGCCGTGACTTAAAGGGACCCCTCCTTGATTGATTGCTTCCCTGCTAATGCCACAGATTATGCAGTGCCCTTTTGCAGTATGTAGGAAACTATTTACTGCTGAAGCAGGAAACCTTGCTTCTACAGCAGGCAAATAGACTGAGCAAAGGTCACAACAAGGTGCATGTTCTGTCTCAGTTGAGTGTTTTTAGCTGGAAAATCTGCCTCCTCCCCACAAAAGAATCAAGCAATCCCATCTGACTTTTATGGGTGAGAACAAAAGTGGCCAGTTTCCTGTGCCCAGGAGCCCTAGCAGTGGCCCAGTGGTCTGTTGCCCTGGGCGCTGCGCATGCACTGAATTTAATGACTTGGTTTTCCCCTCTCAGGCATACCTGAATTTTCGTCGCCAGAGCACAGAGGGGTGGAGCATCGGAAACGTCCTGCTAGACTTCATCGGTGGGAGCTTCAGCCTCCTTCAGATGTTTCTGCAGTCGTACAACAACGGTGAGCAGAGCTGAGAGGTCTGTTACTAGCTCCCTCTAAAGAGAAACCTGCTACCAGGTGGGCAGTCGCTCGCACACATCCCGATGCTGTTCCCAGACAGGGAAGCCACGCCTGGCAGCCCACGCGGCCAGCTGTGCTCTGACACAACGCATGAGTTTATGGTTACCTGCTGGCACCTTTTTAAGCTGTCATGCTGGGCAAACTGCAGGGCAGGGCATGGCATGGCAAAGACCAGCTTCAGTGCAGCTGATCAGTCACAGCTGTCACTAACACTTCATCGCTTTCAAATAATAGCGATGATGGCATAGCAGAACTATTACCGCTACTGATAAGGGCCAAGACCGGGTTGTAGGGCTGTAGGATCGGTTAGCGGGCCTGACCACGCAGCTCTCTCACTTGACGTTTCTCTCCTCCAGAGGAATGGAAGCTGATCTTTGGAGATCCCACCAAGTTTGGGCTGGGCCTCTTCTCCATTGTCTTCGATATCCTATTTATGATCCAGCATTACTGCCTCTACAGGACACGAGGATACGAGCCTTGTGACTGAGGCCTTCGCCCCGCGTGGACACCAGGACGGGATGAGTTGGCCTTACCACCATGAGATTGCCCGATTAGTTGCCAGGTTCCTCTTCGGCAGGGACTGTGGTGAACCCCCATCCCACTGAATGCCAAATGCCTTAAAAGGATACCACATTATCCACCCATTGACACAGGGAAGAGATTAGCTCTTCAAGCTAGTTTGGAGCCCGTCCGGCTTGGGCTGTCCTAGCTGTGGCTCTCCTCACTGCTCTAACATGGGTGCGATTATGCAGGGTCTCCTTTGTGCTAGTTTCCAAAGAGCCAGAACCCGGGCCAGCAAAACCCCTCGCTATCAGGGACCTAATACAACCAGTGCTAACAAAGTAACAGGGGAACAGGTAGGTTGGCAGAGAGCAGGATCCAGCCACTTTGCCTCTCCTTTCCAAACCAGGCTGTACAAGTAGGAGAAGCTGCTGACACCTGTTTGGGGTTGTCTCCATCAGGACATGGGTAGCAAGGGACACCCCACTCCTGCAACACATTCCATGACAGTCAGTGGCTGAACTTACTAAGTGCAAGAAACCTAATGCGTTCACTTGAGCAGCTCCTCTGTCACAGCTTTTCCTCCCAAAGGTGCTAAGTACCCCAGATCAAGTGTGAGACTTCGCTGCACTAAATAGCGAGCTAGTGACCCTGGGTCCTGTTTGCCGAGACAAGAACAGCCGGTGTGAGAACTCCACGTGGGCCGGGTTCAACTGCCTAAGAATTAAAAACTTGTACGAAGCATCTTAAAGCCTTTGCCCTTTCCTGAGTGTTCTGGGCCAGAACTAAGCAGCTGTAACTCCTTCCAAGCAGACTCAAAATAGGGACGTCCCCCAAGGAAGGGAGGCAGGAGGGGGTGGGTACTTACGGGAAAGGGCTGAGTAATACCTGCTGGGTCTTGCAGTAGTAAACCATCAGTTCAACTGCAAGATCAGCCAGGGTTGTTCCAACGCTGGATTTCTGCCAAATTCAGATGACAGGCCTCTCTCCTGCGAGACCCCTACCCTGGTCACAGCCTGCTGCAACTCATGCCATCACTGCCCTTTCATCGCTCTACCTGGCGTGGGCAGCCACATGTTTAAAAGGCAACCCTTGCTCTAAGGCAACCGAACGGGAAAGGCAGGAAGACCACGCTGAAACAGGAAGCAACATTAGTTGTTTTAAACGTGAAAAGAAGGCCCTTTAAGAAATCCAGTTTGTTTTATTGTGTGTAAAATCAAGTGAACCAGCAGTACAAACAGCAGTGTGTACACCGCTACAGTAACAAAAATAACAGCTTTACCACAACTTGTCATTGAAGGTACAAAAAGTCAGGAATATTGGAATTATACAGTATAAAGTATTAACAAACAAGGCAGAGACACAGCTGCTGGTGCGTAGAGAGAATATTCTTGGAGATGCGTTAATCAAGATTAAAACCTCATTAGTCAACCCCTACATGGCACTGCAGTCATGTGCTGAAATAAGTTAGTCTAACACCTCCTCAGTGTCTATTTACAATAACCTGACGCCCGCGGAGAAGAGCCTAACCACACAGTATGTGAGTCAGTCGAGAGATCAAATACCAGACGTAGTTTTTGGATAGCTGTAATTAAAGCTAGCTAGTGTTCAATTCAGTGAAGTACTGAAGCAACTTATGCACCAAGAACCTTATGCTTGTAATTCAGCATGGCTGCAGGGGCCAGAATTTTGGCACGTGTTTGTGCCAGTGAGCTCGCACAGCGGGCTCCTTCCAGCCCCCAGGTCAGCCATTCTAGGTAAAGGCTCGCAAGCTTCTCTGCTAGAAGCGAAGCAAGCACGAGTGGTCTTGTTAAGTTCAGGCTGTTTGAGGAATCCCGCCTCTTGGGACGTGAGCCCGCCTGCGCAACAGTTACAGCACTTGAAAAGCTCGTGCTATTTCTCAGTGGCTAAGAGAAATCTCCCCTTCAAGCCTGAGGCACTTGGACAATTCATGTCTGAGACGTTTACTGCACTGCAGATGGTTTCTGCATCGGGACGCGGGGGCTACAGGCAATGCCACGTTCCCGCAGGAGACTATGGTGCTGCACGTCCCGCACTGTGTCCTAGCCGGCGAGCTAGCGCACAACGCAGGAAAAGCAGCAGAGCCGTTCCTTGCCGCGCTATGGACTTCCTACACCCTCCGACTTAGCCGTGGCATCTTCACTGGAGCCCCACCTAGCGGAGGAGGAACTGCCGCTCAGCGCCAGTCTGGAGGAGGGGTCTAAAAAAACCTCATTAGCGAACACGCACTTCCCTCCCCCCCCACGCCCCTGCGGAGTGAACGAGAGCGAGCCTGCGCTGCCGAACCCGTCATCTCCCGCGCAAGAATAGACTCGTCTGTCAGTTCAGGGTAAGCACCAAGAAGCATTTCTCCAGTTCCTTCCCTAAGCAGCTTGTGTCCCCTCCTTGCAGTATGGCTAACTTCCCCCCCCCACGACCCCCCTCCCCGTAGTGTTATGGCTTTCGGCGTGCAGCGGGGTCAGGCTGTCCTACGTGCTGCACCCTCACGGAAGACTTCCCGAAAGAGAAACTGCCCTAGCGGCCAGGAGTTTGTTATCGCTGGTTCTGGGCAGGGGGAAAGCCGTGCTGGGAGAACTCGTCTTT